TCAAGGGAGTTGGTACACTTTGGCTGTGGCTTTGATTTACTCTTTCTTGTATTCTACCACCAGAACATCACCCAACTTTGCCATATCTTGTCTGTTTTATTATAAAAGTGATTAACATTCCATCTATAATGAGTGACTTCATGAAGTAGAGGGAAATGTTTTTAACATGTGAAGGCAGGAATATATTAAATGAGGAAAGAGTGAAAGTATTCCTTCTAGGGGCCGGGGAGATGGCTCAGTAGGATAAGCGCTTGACTGGCAAACACAAGGATCTGAGTTCAATCCCTGGTTCTGAAAAAAAAAAAAAGTATTCCTTCTAAAATCAAGAGACGACACAGTGATATATTATGTGCTTGACAGTTTACCCAGAGCAGTCATGCAAGAGAATGAAATCAAAGGATTCAAATAGGCAAGGAAGAAGCCAGAGTACCCTTATTTGCAGTTCACATGATTCTTTACTAGATTAAAAATAACACTATCAGAAAATTCTTAGAACTAAAAAACTCAGCAAAGTGGCAGGATATAAAATCAACACAAACACACAAAAATCAGTAGTGCTCTGAAATACTAACAATGAACTCAACAAGAAAGAAATCAGAAAAAAAAGTTTTTCTATTCAGAATAGATATTTTTTAAAAAATTAAATACCTACATATTAAAGATTGGAAGATCACTGTAACAAAAGACTGCATTGCCACAAGAAAAAAATTGAAGACCACATTAGAAAATCAAAGATATCACCTGTTCTTGGATAGGGAGAAGTAATATTGTTAGAATAGCTCTGTAGCCAAAAATATTAATGCAGTTCCCAAAAAATGCTTTTTAATCCAATAAAAACCATCAGAATTTTTCACAGAGCCAGAAAAAAATTCTACAATTTGTGTGGAACCTAAAGAGACCTAATAGCTAAACCCATCCCGAGCAACAAGAACAAAAAAGGGGGCATTGTAGTCCCAGACCTCAAATTAGTACAACATTAATAAAAATATTAATGCACAGAAATAGACATTTTAACCAGTGGAATAGAATAAAGGATGCAGAAACAACCCTATGCACCTTCACCCATCTGATTTTTACAAAGGAGCCAATAACTTATGCTCTGAAAAAGATAGTTTCTTTAACAGATGGGTGCTGGTAAAGCTGATTATCCATATGTAGAAGAATGAATTTAGATCCATATCTCTGTATGTAGTACCTAAAATCAAATCAAGATGGACCAAGAGACACAGATATAAAAGCAGAATCACTGAATCTGCTGAAGAAGAAAATGGTAAAACTCTTGCAGATATAGGCATAATCACTTGGTGAATAAAATCCCAGTTGTACGAGATACTATACCAGAAATCAACAAGTGGGATTATACCAAATCAAAAGCTTCTTCTCAGCAAAGAAAACAAATAATATTGTGAAGAGTCAGTCCACAGAATGGAATAGCATTTTTGTCAGCAACATCTCTGACGGAGGACTAATATATAGGTTATATAAAGAATTTTTAAAAATTAGACACCAAACATAAAAGACCCAATCATAAAATAGGCAGTTAAAATATTAGACACTTCTCAAAATAAGAAATACAAATGGCCAGTAAGTACATGAAAAAAATGTTCAGCATCTTTTGGCAATTAGAGAAATGTAAGTCCAAACTATGCTGAGACTACCTTATTCCAGTTAGAGTGGCTATTGTCAAGGACTACAAAAGCAGCAGATGGTGATGGGGTTCTGAGGGAAAAGGAGCCTTACTACATTGCTGGTGGGAATGTGAATTAATGTAACCACTATGGAAATCAGTATGGAGATTCTTTTATAAGTGAAAGTGGGTGGCCGGGGAGACAGTTCAGTGGAATAAGCGCTTCCCTGGCAAGCGCAAGGACCTTGAGTTCCATCCCCGGTTCGGGGGGGGGGGGTGGAAATAATTATTGATATTATCCCCATTTTAGAGGCAAACAGTTGAGAAAGCACTGATTTGCGAAAGTATACAGAAATTGTAACTTGACAATTAGAATCATCCTTTTCTGTACCAAATTGCCCAAAAAAGCATGTTCTCTACAGCTGGCTTATTCTCATTTGACGCTTTAAAAGATGTAAAGGCCAGGAACAGTAGAACAATAACACACTTGGGAGGTAAAGACCTTTTCCCTATATTACTATGAATTTGAAGGAAATACAAAAAAAAAAAAAAACACCTTTTTTTGACAACTTTCTACTTATTCTGCTTGCTTGCTTGCTTGCTTGCTTGCTTGCTTGCTTTCATATATATTTAGTACAGGGTCTTACTACACAGATTGGACTTGTAGTGATCCTCCTGTTTTTCAGCCTCCCAAGCGCTGGGATTTCAAGCATGCACCACCACACCCAGTCTCTGTCACTGTCTCAGTGTGCCCCGGGGGCAGGGCCAGCACTGCATGCCAGGGATTGGACCCTGGCCCCTGCGCTCTGCCTAAGCAGGCGCTTTAATCCGCTGAGCTATCTGGCTAGTCCTTTACTCTGCTTCTTGATAGGATTATTTTTCCTTTAGTCATTTGAAGATTTCTAGCCACTGTCCAGAAAGAGGGTTTGTCAACTATTTTTTGTTTCTTTTCCTTGGTCTCATGTTCTGTGTTCCTAATGGCTTGCTCTAGCTGGGTACTTGAGTTGCATCCAGGTCTGGAGCAAACCATCCTTAGCTCACTTGGCGTAGTCAATCAGCATCCGTGTGAGATCCCTGAGATGTACATCATACTTGTAACCTGGGCAAGAGCGTCATTCATCACCTTCCCCTCCTCAGCCCCTCATTCTCTGTGTTCATGTGGAAGTGAAAAACGCTTCTTCCTGTTGTGGGAAGGGAGTTCTGAGAAGACCCCTTCCCTATCATGTTTATGTAAATGTGGGGCAGTACGAAGTGATTTGGGATCTGGACTTTCAGGGTCAAATTCCAAAGAAGAGTGGTGATGTTATGCTGGGTCGAAACTGAGAAGGAACAGAGAGCACCATCTATTCCTCAGCTGTCCTTTTACTTTTCATCCACACCGTCCTGCCTACCTCCACTTAGGCAATAACTTTTCTGCCCTGCTAGAGGTAGGCTTAAGAGTGTGTGTGCTGCTAGGGAACAGGAAGCAGCACCTGTAGGCAGACAATTCATTGGTCTGGGACACAAACACTGAGAGGAGAAGAAAAGATCTGGATGAAATGCTAGGAACCCTTGTAGTAGAATTCACACACTTTTCTTAGGGGCAGCTAAGTACTTGTCCTTTGCTTGTCCTTCAACTGAATATTCCAGTATACTGGAATTAAAATAGTTTTGAAGTTTCCAAAGAGAAGACACCTCCCTCCCCACTTTTTCTTGTAAGCAGTGCTGTCATATTGTGAACACCTTCATTTTTAGAGACACTTCTTTTTCTATTACTATAATTTGAAAGTAGAATTTATCACTTGTGGTAAGGCCTCAGCTTCTAATCTTATTTCTTCAGTGTCAAAGCACGTTCTTCCTTCTTAGATGTCCTTATCAGCAAGCTCAGGAAATGGACAAGCTATTAGCAGAAGGCTGACACCTGGCCTTTCTCATCAATACAGTTCATCTATGGACTTTAGTTCACTGTGCACATGCTCTGTGTTCACAGCTGGATAATGTAGCACAATAAAGCATCAGTCTTGCCCTCAGCAAGCCAGCAGTCAAGGTGAAAGTAGTCAGAGCCATGTAAGAAGCAGCAGGGTTATGGGCGTAGCTCGGAGGTGGAGCATTTGCCTACCATGCACCAGAGATGGGTTCTGTCGCCAGCTCTGGAGAAAAATTTTAAGAAGAGACAGAAGCAAAACTACAGGACAGTGATTAGTTCTCTGATTTGTTGATGCCATTAGTGTGTAGTTATGAGGGAAGAGACCCATGAGAACTAAAATGATTGGAAATGTCTGCAAGATGGGAAGATATACCTTGACCAGGGCCTTGCAAGGGGTGGGGCATGGTGAGATGGCCCAGGAGAAGCAGGGAGATAAGACCATGGTCAGCCAAGATAAGTGCATTCTTCTCACAGCCAGAGTCAGATACGCATACACAGATATATACTGTATACGTTAGGCATCTATGCTAGGTATTTCATAGTAAATAATGTACATATATAATAGTACATATATATGAAGGAGGTATTATATACATATATGAGTTTGTATATTTTTTCTTTATTTAAAATATGTCTACTTTTTGAGAATAAGATTTTGATATAACTGGATAAAAGAAAGTACTATTTGGTGTATTCACATTAGATTATCTTTCTTTTTTACTTTTTATTAATTCACACCCTCTCATTTAGTCCCTGCCTGTCTCTCTTACAAATGATCACATGGAAATTCTGATTTGATGGAGTGTGCTATTTCATTTTTTTTTAATTTTATTTATTTATTTATTTGAGAGAGAGAGAGAGAGAG